AAAAAAAAAAAAAAAAACTAAAGCCAAAACTCGCAAAGGTTTCTTAAATGTAAAGTAAGAAGATGTTAGCTACTTAGCATTCAAACCAAGTGTCTGATCCAGGAAATCTAGTTTCATTTTCCCTTCACAATTAAGGTGTTGCTCCTAAGCAGTGATTATTACTGTCATCCGCTACGGCTCAGGCCCCCTTTCAGGGCAGTGACCATCTCATATGGCTTCAACAGCCCCACACCTCACACGTCACATACAAAGAACTAAATAAATTCAATCTGTTCCCCTAGCTTTTGAAATGAAAAGATAATGTGTTTCATTCGCTAGGGCAGATTGAACCAATTGACTATCATAAATTTCCATAAATTTGGCGTGTTTAGATAAAAAGTGTTTATAGATGAGTCCGACACTTTAGAGTCATCTACAGATGGGCAACGAGCTGTTTGTATGTCTGTGTTGCAGATTTGTCGCAAACTCAATGGCATTCGTTTCACCTGTTGCAAAAGTGCCAAGGACAGGACATCGATGTCGGTGACTCTGGAACAGTGCTCGATCCTGAGAGATGAGCACCAGCTACACAAGGACTTCTTTATCCGAGCCCTGGATTGTATGAGAAGGTAGCCTGCATGTGTGCAACTTTCTTTCTTTTAAGGCCATTTTAAAGTTTGGGGGCTTTTGTTTTCCAAATATATATTTTACTGGCAGACTGAATAGTGACTTCATTGCATTTCCATGGCTCATAGCTCATGGCATGAAAGATAAAATAATATTAAGCATTTCCCCTACTCATTTGAGGCAATAAAAGAGAACGTGGCTGGATTTTGATAATAGCTTATGAACTCATTTAGATCTAAGTTTTAAAGGGCTCTGGTCCTTTCATATATAACTTGAAGAACAATTTCTTTATATATTAGTAATTATGAAAATGTGCAAAATAAAACTCTGTTGTTATCCAAAGAAAATCTCTCCTGACCGCAACTGATAGGTGATCCTCCCAATGTCTTGTAGGGTCTCCAGGTCGGTCACCTCCTTCCTAAAATTATTTTCACATCACTCATCATAAAGGTGGGATGACACAGATACTTTAGAATAGAGAATTAATATTGTTCCTCTGCCGACATTTAGAATGCTATGCCTGAAGTCATGTTTCTTGATTCATTTCCACAATAATTAAATCTAAAGTCTAAGCCATAATGGGGAGGAAAAAGTGTCTCATTCACAGTGTCTGTCAGGAAGGACACATGTTAATTAAAAAGTTAAACGTAATTGTCTTTTTGCTGCAAAGACCGACTCAGAAGCACACCAGATAGCATGGGACAGACTCTTGTATTTCCAGAAAGGAATGTCCTGTGATGCTCTAGAGAGGACAGCTTCTTATCTGGCATATCATTAGCTACCCCCCCCTTTTTTTTTTAACGGCTGCAGTCTCTCAGTGGGGCTGTGGACATTTGCCTGCGCATGCCCTGTGCCTGCATGCTTTCCCTGCTACATGAGAGATTTCTGGAGCCCTCTCTGTTTCCCCATTTCATGTCTCTTGGCATTTTCATTGTTCAGTGGAGTTCTATTATGATTTCTTGATAAATGTATGAGGATGTCTTCACGGCCTGACATGAACATCCCAGCCATATAAAATGCACTTGGTTGTTATAAAAAAACTTCTTTTAAAAATAATCTCTCAGCACTAATGGGAAGAATTCAGAAACTGAAGCTGAAATCTTCTAAAGTGCAGAAAAAGAATACAAATATCACTGTGGTTAGAGCAAAGGTACTAGGTGGGGAGAAGAGAAACACATGATATTATAGGCCAGATACACACCAGAGGACTATAATGATTCAACAAACACGAATTATCTGGAAGATGCAATTGTTGTTTATTTAAGGCAGAGATAAAAGAGGACCCTTAAATTAGAAAGATGATTCTTTCAAATTGGTAAATAAAAGGTGTATCATATACATGTTAAAATATAAAGCTAGGTAGTGTGGTATTGCATAAAGCTTGTATAGAATCGACATTATATATGTAATGTACTTGCTCACGACATAACATGTATAGGGTTCATTTTTGGATTGTTAAAAAATATAAGGTCTAACAATTTTAATCTAAAAACACTGAAGATCTTAACTTCTATATCACCACTTCTCTGGGGGATCTATATATATTTATATTTATATACATATTTTTTTATAAATTTCAAATCTGTCAAATTTATCATTTGGTTTTGTGAATGCACGAGAGCTGTGTGAGTCTGTGAGGGTGCACGCGTGTGTGTGTGCATATGTTTAAGGGAAATAATATATGTCCTTTCCTTTAATAACTGCCATAGTTTCCTTCTTTGGATATTCTGTATTACAGTACAAGCCTATTGGTTTATGAGTTCTGGCAATATATAGTAAGTGAGAGAATGGGGTTTGGGAGCCAGCTGACCTGAGTTTTAATGCAGCCTATGTGCCACTTACTAGCCATTGGCAAGGGATTTTGTTTTGTTTTTTTTTAAGCTTTTATTTATTTATTTGAGAGAGAGAGAGAGAACAATGGGGTGCAGAGAGAGGGAGAAGCAGAGTCCCCGCTGAGCCGGGAGCCTGATGCAGGGCTGGATCCCAGGACTCTGGGATCATGACCTGAGCCAGAGGCAGATGCTTAACCGACTGAGCCACCCAGGCGCCCCAGCCATGAGCGAGTTTAATGTTTTACTGCCTCCTACCTAGCGCCTTAGGCAAGTTAGTCAACCTCTTGATGCCTCAGTTTCCTTTATCTGTAAAACAGATGTGATAATAATAGTAGCTCTTCAGAGGAGTGTCTTGAGGATTAAATGAATTGATATGTGTAAAGTGATTACACAGTGATTACTGTGTAATATTTGTTAAGTAAATAAAAAATAAATATCGAGAGTCATGATGTTAACATTCTGATCTCAGGTACAGTAAAATCTAATCACTATGATCCCTATAATCTTTGTGAATATATTATGACAAGTTTTGACTCTAATACTATATATTAAAATAAAGTCTACTGCCAATTCTTATAAATAAGGTTTCAAATGCAATGCTTTATCTATTCAAGAGAATAGTTCTTTAAATTCCACCTTAAAGTGTGCATGTGTTTACAAATGCTGTGCTAATTATGGATGGATTGTATTCATTAAAGTAGGCCTGGGTAGGTTTCTTGTAAGTATTTTTATATTACTGTGTATTATTGTATTATTGTATGCCCTTGGAATTTGAGTCATAGATTTGAGATCAAAGAGTCAGTCTAGAAATCTAGTCAAATCTGCTTTACTTTATAAATAATGAAACTGAGCTCTAGAATGTTTTGGCAAAGACTATTGAGACAGAAAGTGTTAGAGCCAGCTCTGGAACATAGATGCCCTTGTTATATTTTAATGTTATTTTCTTTGTACCAAATGAAACAAAATACTATCACTTAAAATTATTTGGTAATATATTTGACTCCCTCAAATCTGTTACTTAAAATACAGTTGACCCTTGACCAACACAAGTTTGAACTGCATGGGTCTACTTACATGTGGATTTTTTTTTAATAAACACAGTACAGTAAATGTATTTTATCTTATGATTTTCCTTATAACATTTTCTTTTTCCTAGCTTACTTGATTGTAAGAATACAGTATATAATACATATAAAATACAAAAGATATGTTAATCAACTGTTTATGTTATCAGTAAGGCTTTCTGTCAACAGTAGGCTATTACTAGTTAAATTTTAGGGGACTCAAGTATTATACATGGATTTTCCACTGTGCAAGGGTTTGTTGCTCCTAACCCTTGTGTTGTTCAAAGGTCAAGTGTATTATATAAGTCATATAAATCATTAAAGACCATGTGCTTTTAGGAATTCGAGACTGTGTGTAAGACTAGAGAAATCTGCCCCAAATCCTGAGACCTTGAAGAGCAGACCCTAGTTCTAGAATATGAACTATTTAATTTCAGCCTTATCTATTATGTCTGCCATTGTACTGGGGCATTGAGCACAGTGTCTGGTCCAGAGTAAAACAAATATAAATAGGGATTGAATAAATGAAGAACAGTCCACATAGGAATTCATTCTGCTGCCTTCCGTTTTTCACAACCATGTAACAATTTTGTCTTTTTTTTTTTTTAATTATGTTTTCAGTTATATTCGAGATAGCAATTTAGTTCTTACTTTTATGTCTAAGCCTTGTTTCCTGGGGTTGTCCTTCGGTGTCTGTAGTTCAGTGGTTAATGGTAAGCCAGAGGTTGCACTGCAACAACTCAATCCAATAAAGCTTCCAACCTCTTTTGATGTGGATTGTGGATTGTGAACATATTCAGAGTTCAGGAGTTTTCAAACCTGCTCTGCCTTTTATTTCCACCAGACCTGTTAGGTCCTCCTAGTTGGCCAGGATGTGTGAAAGTTTATCAAAACCCTCCATGGCTCTCTCATTTTTAGGATCTCTGGTTAGATGAACAGATAGTCATCTGGGAGTGGCCCCAGTAGGACTGCTGTCTCAGGCTAGCTAAGAGGTTGACTGTCAGCATCCGCTTGCCTGCAAGAGCACTGCTGTTTTTGGACAATGCCTGGGAGTGGCATTTTCCGCTGTCCGCATTCAGTGCAGTCCGGTGCACCGCCCGCCCACCAGAGTAGAGCTTGAGCTGAGAGGGGCAGGAAGACCACACACTTCCCCTCCGCTTCCCCACTGTGGGTAGTTTTCCAAGAAGCAACAGTCCTCAGCTTGTTGCTTGATTTCCGTTGATTACCAAGGTCCTGAAATGGTTGATTTGACTGTATTTTCCCTTCTCATCGTGTTTTGGGAGAAAGAGGATTTGTAGAACTCCTCGGTCTGCCATCTAGGAAATCCCACCCTCAGACAGTGGCTTTAAAAGGCGCCTCAGACTGCTTCTGGGGCTTTTTAAAACTATCTATCTTTGGATCCCATATGATTTATAATTGGGAAGATCTGAGGTAGATCCAGGGATCTAAATTTTTTGAGAACTTTACTGATATTCTGGGACACAACCTTAGATTTTAAAAAATCAGTGTTTTAAAGGACTTTGATTTTTATGCTTTTGAAAATACTGGTTTTTTACTTTATTTAACATCAGTTGCAGTTTATTTTACCACTGAGTTATTCTAACCACCTTTCAGGCTATTTGCTCTGGATTTTTTTAAAGTTCACCAAGGTTATAATATCATTGCTGTTTTTTGGGTTTTACTTTTCCTTATCTATATTAAATTTTTCTATTGCATTGTGCTTCTCTCTGTAAGTTTCAGATTATTTATGGATAAATGAAATGTAATAGATAAAGAGAAATAAGCAAAGCTTCATTTTGCTGCTTGGTCAGAAACTCCCTCAGCAGAATAAGCTCCATGAGAGCAGGTATTTTGGTTCTCCTTTGTCCATTGCAATCTTCCCAGTACATGCCTAGTGATAGTAGGTTCTCGATAAATACTCAATGAATGGGTAGATGAAGGAATGAATAACACAGGTTTCTAAAATGTTCAGGTCATCTATATTAGGAGTTTTGTGCATACATAGGCATTTAGAATTAAACATGAAATTATTACTCAGTTGTGACATATTTATCAACAAAAGTTCCAGAAGATGAAATTGAAAGCTTTTGGAGACATTATGATATC